GATGGCTGTGCCCTCCCGTTGTGTCGCCGCACAGGTGCAGTTCGGTTGGCATGTACACGAGATAGCCTCTGCTCTGAACACTATGAAGGGATGCTCACTCCTAGCCTCTCACACGAAAATTGTGATCCCCTGTCCTGTGCTCATCCCCCCCACCCCCTGATTACTTGCTCAGCATGCCGTTGTGGCCTTGATCTGCCATGCTCAAATATCTGTGCACGTCAGCCTTCCATACTAATGACATGTCAGCAACATGCCACGTGTCGTCAATGCTTCCAGGAAGCTGTCATAGAAAGTATGTGTCTTTACTGCATGGACTATCCCCGGTGCCATCACCCTCCACATCCTCTCCTAGCATGTTCCACATGCGGTGTTGGTTGTATACCTACGGCAACCGCTGACGGATCTCCCTCTTTCTTGCCAGACGAACGACGGACACAGCAGTCCGAGGAGGAAAATAGACTTCTATGTAAACCACCGGCAGAGCGATGTGCTCATAGTTCTACACCACCAGGTCAAGCTGTTGTGGATCAAATCCTGCAGCAGCTGAACGCCCTTGCGTTGGACCGATCCTCCCTGTCGTCGCCTGCCCATAGAGAAGGAATACATACTGAGGAAGCCCAAGAAAGATGCTCCATGCTGCTTTGTGATGACCCGCCGGTGATTCAACTAGCATGTGGTTTGCATGCCTTGTGCCGTGAGGATTATGAAGGGGTAGTCCATGTGAGTTTTTGTTTCCATACGTATGATGACAGTCAGTACTGTACTCATGTACGGCACCCCGACATGTCAGGTCCAATTTGTAGACAGGGGCAGGAACGACAATGCCTCTATAATTGCGGTCGACGTGCCTCTGTGTTCCTAGCATGTACGAGCCATGTAGCCTGTGACATCTGTCTGCGTTGTGCCATTCGATGCGGCAACTGTGACTACGAAAATTTGATGCGGTGCTTCCATAGCCCACACCCGAACCGGTCCTGTCCGGTCTGTAGGGGTGGCCACGCGCCATAGGTTTTTTTTTGCTAGAGTAGTCTGTTTCAACGTTGAATAATTAGAAATCAGTGAAGCTCGCCATGCACCTCTCCCCTGCTCTTTGCATGTCATACTCTATCCTGCCCTCCACATATTTCTTTCCTTCCCGTTGCCACTACCTCCCCTGCCCCATACTCCTATAGAACTCTGCCTTCTATCCCTTCCCCTCCACCCTTCCCTCCAGTCCCTTTGTGCTACTAACAAATACATACGAATGAGCATCATTAAGAGAACAGACGATATGAAGATCAGAAATGAAATGAAAGGAAGTATGAAGATGAAGGACGGACACAAAGACTGTATAAGCTGAAGATCTAAAGTGAAATGAACAGGAGTATGAAGCTCTGAAGAGAAAT